TTGGTGGGACCTCCAAAAATGTTAGGTTAAAATATATCCCAGGGGAGCCTCCAAAACGATAGGTCAGACCTGCCGGGGTGGGGTTGTGAGATCTGGTGCCATGAGAAAGATGCAAAGAATTGCATAAAAGTCAAACTGGAAAATATAGTTTATTTAGAAAGTAAATTAGAGAGAGGGAGGGAGGAAGGGAGGAATGGGAAAAGGGAGGAAGTGGGGTTGGCGGGGAGAGGAGACCTGGCCATAACTCAAAGAACACATGGCCAGACCATAGCTTAGCAGAGCAATGGTGCCTGGCTACTTGAGGTCAAATGCTTTTAAACATTCCCCTTTGATGGGACTGGTTGTTAAGGTGGTTGGGTGGTGATCTGCTCCACATCATCATGAAGGGACAGGTAAGCACAGGTACTGACATCAGGTGATGGACAGCAGGTGGATGGGTGGGTTAGTCACATGACTGCAGCCATGGTGATGCGGTCTGTCTATGTCATGAAGGTCACCGAGGGATGATTAGATTAACTTGGGGTCTTATGGGTGGGGGCACATACTTGAAATAGAAAAGCTAATTAGTACAAAACAAGCTGGGAGGGGGATTGTAAAACAATTATCAATAGCTACCTCTGAGAAACCAGTTTTGTCCTTAGCTAGTGGATTAGAAGGTAAATTAAAGTGAACTGCTAGAAAAACATGACAAAGCTAAGCAATGTTAAAATGACTGCTCATTGACTATATTGACTCCATGTTATGTCCTTTCAGCTTCATTACCTTAATAGCTTAAATCTAAAGACATAAGTTTACAGACTTAAGTAAGAACAAAAGGTGTTACAGAAGCAAAGTTTTATATCCTAAAACATCTAGCAGAAATAGTATGGGACCAGTAGACTTAGACAAAATTAAGTTAAATTCTGAAGGTATTTCTATTTCAACAATTTTAAAACGATTTACTAGAGATTACTAAAGTTACATGAATTAAGACATCTGAGTTAAAGTTTCTACTTTCTGATAAAACATTTAATTTAAGTGCTTATTTTTTCTGTAAGCCAATTAGAGTTTTCTCATATATCTTATTTATAAAACATTACATACATATAAACCTACAGACCCATAGATAGAAGCAGATTTTATTAGATTTTTAAGATTCTTCTTTTGTCAATTTCAAAAGCTCCCCCCACCCTAATTTAAACTATCTATCTCAGTGTCCTGTTTAATTGACTTAGGCAACCTTAAGTTTGTATTTCTAAAGAGATAATTCTTAGGTGAAACAAGACAAATTTAAAGCACAGAGTTAAAATGTCAGACAACATCATACTGTAGTTTGCTTAAACTAGAAAAAAATGGTATAAGTAAACGTTCAATTAACATGACCAGAAAAAGCACTTAAAAAAAGATACATGTTATGAATTTAAAACCACAAACAGACGCCTTTACAAATAGAGATTAAAATGTAAGTTTCTTTTACCAAAGGGTTCAGCCAGTTACATTCCAGAAACTTGTATTTTGTCTTTTTAGGCTATTGTCCTCAAGGTGGGGAGCCAAGAAAGCATGCCAACTTCAGGGTCTAAACCGTGCATTTCTTATTAGGAAGTAACTAATAACCATTAATTGTAAGCAACTGCCAGTTTTCTCTAAAATAGTGTATACTTTTTAACCTACTCATTATACAAACTAAGGTCAATTTTCAGTATAGTCCAAAGTAATTTCTGGTATTCCCCAAAGCTAAAAAGAGCGAGGCAGTGCAGCATGGGACTTTAGACCAGAGACAAATCTGCCTAATTACAACTCCTGAGGTTCATTAAGGAAAAATCAGAGGCTTCTATCAAAAAGGAATCTATGGCGTCTTTTCTGTTTTCCTCAAGGATCCCAGGCTCTTCTGTCTTAGGTCTTCTCATGGGGATATCAAGAGTAGCAAAAGGAAGGAGGGAGCAAACAGGTAATGTTTGGTTGACTGAATTCCTAGAAGTAGGATTCAAAAGAAAAAAGGCATAAAGACCTTATAAAAATATTGATTATTGAATATTAACTTTTTAATTAAGCTGACTTTTAGCCATAGAGCTCTAAAGAACATATCTTTTCACATCTCTTATTACCAGAAACCAGGAGGGAGAGAATTCTAGGACTAGTCATGACACTGACATCTTTCTTTCAATATCCTTTCCTTCAATTGTGTACAATGCGAGATCTCTAAAATCTTTTTCAGTGGTGCACTTATATCCAATAGTGTCTTGATTCAAAAGCTTCTTGAAGCTCAGGTAGTAGAGGGCATAGAGGATGCAGTCTCCATGATCCCTCAAAACTCAGTTTCAGAAATAGAGACAGAAGACAATAAAACCCCATAAGGATGGGACCCTTTAATACAAAATTCCTCTAAGGTTATTACATGGCATGAAAAGTTTGCTGCTTGGAATCGTATGTGTCTTGGGCTTACGGTCTTTTCATGCTGGCCACTTGATGTGAGCCCGGTAATTCACTCTGTCCATGTGGTGGAAATAGACAGAGTCAACCTATCAAGGACATACAGACAAGAGCAAAGTCTCATCTGGTTTTTGTTTCAGAGACTCACAGCAACATTCTTTAAGAGACGCTGTTCTTGCTAGAACCACACCTGACCAGTCTTCAGAGCTGGCTCAAACAGCAGGCTTATACTGGGATTCCAGGGCTGTGTTCTACCCTACGGTAACCCTCTTTATGACAGAATAGTGCAGAAAGAAAAAAGCCATTTCTGAGTGGAAAAAAGGGATCAAACAATATGAATATTCACACCACAAAGCATACCACAGTTGCTACAAGCCAATACTGGTCATGCAAATGCTTTTTTCTCCTCTATTAATTAAGACCTTGCAGATGAGACAATGATTTTTATTCATTCACTAGGATGCTCACATAGAGACAGAAGCCAAAGCCTGTCTTAGTAAGACATTTTTACCCCTTTGTCGGTAGAACAGTTTCCTGGGTTCTACTCCCTGCAGCCTCCAGAAAAGAACAGCTTTTTTTTTTCATCCTGCCAACTATGCCAAAACTGTGGGGCCATGGCCGCTGGCCCCCAGAAGGTCCACTGAAAAATCACTGGCACGAGGCAGATTGATTAATAGGAGAAAAGACATACAAATTTTAAATAACATATGTACATGGGAGCTTTCAGAATGAAAACCCAACTTCCCAGTGAGTTACAGAAACTTAAGTACTATCAGGCTACCGAAAGAAAAGGGGCTTGTATTCTAGTGAAACAGGTTATGGACAGGGAAGAAGAGAAATTCTATTGAGGGGCAACACAGGTTGGGAGAATGAATGGATGGGGGAAACAGAATGACTTGCAAGTAGTTATCTTTGGAAGTTGAATGAACTTGAGAAACAGGCATTATTTTGTAAAATCCTTGGTACAGGGCTGATTACATTTTTCCTCTGTTTTCCTCATAACAAGTAGAGGAAGTAGCTTAGGAGAGGCATTGCGAGTGGGTGAAGCTCAGAGAGACCTTGAGGCAAATGCCACATTTTGGTGTAAATTTCCCTGAACCTTTTCGTTATATATACTGTGTGTGTGTGTGTGTGTGTGTGTGTGTGTGTGTGTGTGTGTGTGTGTGTGTGTGTGTAGTCTTATGTTCAGCTTGGTATAGAAGTTAGTCTAGAACTTGATCCTTTAATGTTTCAATCTTGAACAATGAAGTTTCATGTTTCTGCTTTATGGGACAGGGAAAGGTTATCTCTCACTTGTGCCCTTGGTTACTAGAAAATAAGATGGTAAAACTCATGTGACATGTAATCTTCAAGTCCTTGGTCTAAGTCTTAAATGATCAAGAATGAATATGACACCTGTTACCAATCGTCTATTTAGCAAATAGTTGTTGAGAGTATTGCTATGTATGAGGTACTCTGCTGTGGAAAGAGCTCAAAGCCTAATGAAATTTGACTGTCTTATTCATGCTGTCTTTTTTATGTCAGCAACTTGTAGTTGATCTTGAAAACAGGAAGCAGATTTTAGAGGGGAGAAGGTAGGAAATGGAGGAGGAAAGCAGAGATTGATTCATTTAGTGGTTAAACTTCCTCATTGCCACATCATTTCTCTATAAATAATGTTTTTCTTTTAAGACTATTGTTTTAGAGCAGGTTTCACAGAAAAATTGAGGGAAAAGTACAGAGATTTTCCACATACCCCCTGCCCCACCTACACACGTATTGCCATCAATAGAATGTTTCTAAATAGAAGTGAGTGGGCTCTAAGAAGCAGTAGCTTTCCAAGCATCGTCATTTCCCTTTCTTCCCTCCCCTCTAAGAAAGCAGTGTCAGGTTTATGAAACCAGAATGAACATATTTCTTTCTTACTCTTCCTTACCCAGTAGGTTGGGCTTGGGCATTTTTCAGAAGAATGTAGTGCTTTGGTTTTAGAATGGAGTACTGTATAAACCACTAGGCTTTGTTAGAATCTCTGGATTCTAGTCCTTGGTCTACCTCTGATTTATCTGTAGTCTTAAGCACTTACCTCACTTCTAGAACATTTTCATCCTTAAAGATAATGAGGTGATTGCTGATCTTGTCTACCTCTTTTTCAGTAATACATATTAAAATACTGTTAAGAGAGAGGAATGGAAGATTTATACATATCAGTATTCTAATGAGATGCCTCTTAAATCCTAAGGGTAAGAAGGATAATTTCTTTCCTGTCAGTTTCCATCTCCTATATGTCATCAAGCAAACTGGTAGTAATATTCCTTAGCCATGACACTTTTGTGTAGTCAGCTAGCAATGCATAAACCGTTTTTTTTGCACATAAAATTTGGCAGATGGTTCGAGCAGTCCTTTGTGTAGATAGCCAGCCAATCTGAGAATTCTTTGCTCAGGAAAACTGTTGTATGGTTTTTGTTATAACTCAAGTAAAATTAAGATCGAGTAGATAAAGTAGGCATTTGTTAATCTAAAAATTTTTTCATAAACTTACATTTTTCATAGAAATGCATAACAAAAATCCTGTGACTTATACTCATGCTGAATTATTTCTGCCTTTTACCTAGGTGCTGCAAAGTTGGTGGTAGCTGTAGCAGTATTTTTACTGACATTTTATGTTATTTCTCAAGTATTTGAAATAAAAATGGATGCAAGTTTAGGAAATCTATTTGGTAAGTTTTTTTTTTTCCCTTAAGTCTTTTGATGTGGTTGTCTAAAATATGATCAGTTCTCAACATTGAGTCAATCTGCTGTTTGGTCTGTCTAGAAAAGGAAATGTAGTTATATCGGTAAGTGTGGTTTATTAGAACATTCTAAAATACATAAGAGATCTTAGAATTAATTCAGTATAAAGCATGAATCTTCTGTTCAACAGTTTGAACCTATAAATGAATCTATTTTGTACATGTCTAGGGCATTAATCATGGCTTTCTAAATGTATGTGCCAAAAGATATTATACCTCCAAACTTAAATTGCTTTCCTATGTAAGTTGGCTGCTTGAAAACTTGAAGCAAAGTGTAGCCCTCAGTTACCAAGTAGTCGGGAGTCACAATAACGCATTTTAAATACCAGCTATATAAATCCATCCTGCTTTCCTACCCTTATTTTTCCTCTGTGGCATTTTCCTTTTTACCCATGCATTAAATATTGCCATATTATAAATGTACCATTACAAGGTATTGTAACCCAGTTTTTAACAGAATTCTTAAGTGAGTAAAATAGATTGACCTTTGAAATGTTTTCATTGGAACCAATTATATGTAATACTATATTAGATGGTTGTATATGAATATCTTATAGACTCTTAAATAATTAAGTGCCAAGTGTGCATTTCTCTTCTACAAGTATACCATTATGAAGTGAAGAATGGAATTTGATGTTTATATATTAACATGGGAAATAATTATTTCACTGAGGCTGTTTATAAAAATCATAGTCGTGTTGCTTAATGACGGGAATATATTCTGAGAAATGCATCCCTAGTTGATTTCCTTGTTATGTGAACATCATAGAGTATACTTACATACACCGAGATGGTACAGCCTCCACCCTAGGCCATATGGGATAGCCTATTCCTCCTAGGCTACAAACTTATACAGCATGTGACTGTGCTGGATACAGTAGGCAACTATAATACAATGGTATTTGTATATTTAAACCTAAAAAAGGTACAGTAAAAACATAGCATCATAATCTTATGGGACCACTGTTGTATATACAGTATGTCGTTGACTGACTTGTTATTAGGCAGCACATAACTAATTCTGAATCTCTTTTGGAGACTGTTCTTATAGACCTTTATTATGTGAAATTAGAGAGACTATTGATAGTCTTCATAGATACTTGTACTACTTACATTGAGTAAACTTTGACTGAAATGTTAAGATATTAAAGGATTAAGCATTAAAGGTGAGACTATGAACCCTAGAAACAATGTTTTATCCTAGTGGGCAGAAGTCAAGTGAAGGAACTTGGAGCCATTTTTAGGATAGCAGGTTTTACTTTCCATAAATGAGTGTGTGAAAGAGATCCCCAAGACTTAATTCACTATCTGTCACATCTAATCTCAAGACTTCTTTATACCCGTGCTTTTCAAACTTTAATGACAAAAGAATCTCCAGAGAATCTTGATAAATGCAAATTCTTATTCAATATCTGGGACAAGGCCTGAGTTTCTACATTTCTTTTCTTTTCTTTTCTTTTCTTTTCTTTTTTGAGTTCAAGTCTCACTCTGTTGCCCAGACTGGAGTATAGTGGCCACTCCCGGCCACCGCAGCCTCTACCTGCTGGGCTCTGACGATCCTTCCGCCTCAGCCTTCCAAGTAGCTAGAACTACAGGTGTACGCTACCACGCCCGGCTAATTTTTTGATTTATTGTGGAGATGAGGTCTCGCCAAGTTGCCCAGGCGGTCTTGAACCCTTGGGCTCAGGCAATCCACTCACCTCAGCCTCCCAAAGCACGGGATTACAGGCTGAGCCACCGAGCCTGGCTGAGTTTCTACATTTCTAACAAGCTTCCAGATGATTCTGAGATTCCTATCAAAGGACTACATACTGAGTATCAAAGCTTTAGACAGTTCTAACATGGAGTCCTCAATTTCTGCATAAACATTTTCAGGTGACTGTCAGTCATTTTCAGTGACTATTTAAAAGTACTTCTTTGTGTAAGGTTGACCATCTCTAATCCAAAAATTCAAAGTCCGAAATGCTCCGGAATCTGAAACTTTTTGAACATCAACATGATTCTCAAAGGAAATGCTCATTGGAGCATTTCATGTATTTGTATTAGAGATGCTCAGCTGATAAGCATAATGCCAAATGTTCCAGAACTTGAAAAAAATCCCAACTCCAAAACACTTCTGGTCCCAAGCATTTTGGAGAAGGGATACCTAACCTGTATTGCACGAATCCTGCCTTTTGTACTCCCAAATAATTTTAATCCACTGATCTTGTTTCTGCCTCCTGGAGCTGCCTTCTATACCAGTGGTCTCTCAGATAGTTAAATTGTAGTCACTATCCTTCAGGGCTGCTTTTTTACAAGTTTTCATCTTTTCAAGTAATGGAATCCTCCCTTCCGGCTGTTCCTCTTGATACATGAGAGAGACCCAAAGAAACCTGGAATTTATTTATTTAAAAATGTGTATTTATTCTTGCATGTTTAAACTTCAGTCACCTTCAAAGTACTTTCCGCTGGATGTGATACAGCTATTGAGATGCTTTTTCAACTGTTCAAAACAGTTTTTGAACTTGTCAATTTTGTTGCCTTTTAGTGCTTCTGCTGTTTTGTTTCTTCCACTTCAGCAAAACATTTCCCTTTGAGGACTTTTTTAATCCGGGGAAACAAAAAAAAGTTGCTTGGTGATTGATTAGGTGAACGGGGAGGTTGGGACTTGAAGATCATACTGTTCTGAACAGGTGTATTGTCATGGTGGAAGAACCAGTCACCTATCTGCCACAATTCAGGATGTTTCTTCCATAAGTCATGACGCAACCATCTCAAAGTTTCCAGATAAAAACTTTGGTTGAACATTTGATCCAGAGGAACAAATTCCAAGTGTACCACAAGGGGCCCACCCTCCAAAAAAATAATTCTGGTTTTTTAGGGATCTGACCCTCATATTCGTTATTTCCTTCTGAACCTATCTATTTTTCAGCACCCATCCTAAAAGGAAACATTCAGGATCCAGCATAAGTGGTCATTCAAAGAACAGTGAGACTTGTTTTAGTATGTGGCCTTCTATTACTACCTGAGGGCCAGCCTAGTGGCCTTTGAGAGCCTAACTGGTTTCAATAGGATGATGGGGCAGAAACCACAGTGAAGGCATAAGGACTTTTTCTGTGTTGCTCCTGATGAAATATGTGTAGCTAATTCTTTTAAGAAATGTTGATAGTAAGGGAAGAGGATATGAGATGTCAGCTTGGCTCAGAAGCAAGTTATACTTTTTTTTTTTTAAGTAATAGACACTTTAACTTGTCTGTAGGCCTTGGGTGAAAGTTCAGTGAATGACAAATGAGAAAAGATTGAACAGATGAGGAAAGGAGGATTCCTGGAAGATGGGAGGCAATGAGACTATTGGTACAAATAGAAAAGTTATTTTGGGAAAAGGCCCACTGTTTTAGAAGGAAGAGGAAGGAAGGGGCTGGATTAACATGCAGCTGGTAGTTCCCTCCAGTGACATCTCTTGTCTGTTCCCACCCAAGTCCTCATTTTTGTCATGGTTGGATCTTTTTCTCTAGTTCGGACTGTTTTTATAAACACCATAGTGATGTCCCTGTGTCTGTTTCTCACTTTTGCTGTTTGTCTGCTGCACCACTGCTAGAGCAGTTCTCTTAAAACTCAAGAATCCTTAGTCTTCCAAGTACTAGACAATAAAATCCAAGCTCCCTACTTAAGGTGGCATCCAAGCCCTCTGCCTGCCTTTCTCATCCATTCTCCACCTCTGTACACCCTGCGGTTCACACTTGCCATGCCATCTGCTCATAACTGACACACACGAACCCCGTCCTGTCCTTTCATACCTTGGCCTTTGCTCCTACTGGTTCCTCACCGTGTTTATCTTTCTCATCTCCCCAGCATCTCTTAATCCTCATTTTCAAAAATGGCAGAAATGCCCCTTCGGAGAAATTGCATTTGTGCTTCCTTTATTCGAAACTCTTCGTTCTAATTGCATAATATTTATAGCTCAATTTGTCACTGGTTTTATTCTACCTTACATTATAGAATTTTTCTTTTTCATGTGTCTGTTTCCCCCATCCCCAAACCCCTTTACTGAGAATGAATCTTGAGGTCAGTAATATTGGTGCTTCGTCTAGAATCTCGTGCTGAACCCTGCAGATAGTAAATACTGATTGAAAATAAATGTGGATAACTAAAGGTGAGGATTTTTATGTGAGAAGGAGTATTTCTATAGTAGGATTCATTCAAAGCTGTATTAGTTGGAAAACGTCACTGACAGTCAGTCATGAATAAGTACTGAGCAGCTTTACCCAGTCTAGTTATCTCTCCTAATTTTGATTTTGATTTTTTCTGATGTTAAGAACCTGCAAGTTTTCACTGTGTGTGTTTTAGCTATTTGATTTAAGCATTCTTAGGGCAGATGGTTTATTTTGGTGTTGTAACTGAAGAAGTATGTTTTATCTGTATAATCTTACTGGATTCTAATCTATTGAATTGGTGAACATTTAATTTATTATGGGATTTTATTTTAATTCTCATTTCAGACTATTTCAACAAAGATGGACATCTGATTTTCTTTGTCATTTGTTTAGCATGTAACTTAGTATACCAAAGGGTAACAAGTTTAACCCAGCATTAGAATTGCTACAACCAGTATATTAGGGACCCATAACATTAAGTACAGTTCTTTGGTGATGAGTTTTCCATTTTTTCACCTTCCTTAATAGTTTCTATAAATCATTTTGACTCAGCTTTATTATATAGTATTGTTTTAGAAAAATAAAACAAACCTTTTTTAGAAAGTAAGAATGAAAAATTTACTCACAATTAGTAGTTGAAATTACCAACATAGATTATAATTTTTTAAAAGTAAATTTTAAATAAAACTTTATTTTGTGATAACTATTATTTCTTACAAATGGTATGTGAATCTACAGAGAGAGCCCGCATACCCTTTACGCAGTTTCTCTCGTTAGTAACATCTTATAAAACTATAATACAGCTGGACTCGGTGGCTCAGCCTGTAATCCCGCGCTTTGGGAGGCTGAGGTGAGTGGATTGCCTGAGCCCGCGGGTTCAAGACTCACCTGGGCAACTTGGCTAGACGTCATCTCTACAATAAATAAAAAAATCAGCCGGGCATGGTAGCGCGTGCCTGTAATTCCAGCGACTCGAAAGGCTGAGACGGAAGGATCTCCGGAACCCAGTGGGTCGAGGCTGCAGTGACCAGGAGCGGCCACTGCACTCCACTCCAGTCTGGGCGACAAAGTGAGACTCCAACTCAAACAAAACAAAACAAAACAAAAAACAACTATAATACAGTGTCAGTACCAGGATATCAATGTGGATACAATCCACCAATCTTATTTAGAATCATGATTTAGTGTAGTGTTCCCTTTCAACATGAATACTTAGCTAGTAAATGTACTGAACACGGTCCAAATTACTTTTAGCATATGTTGCTACAGTGAGTACTTAATTTTCTATTGAATTGATTTGTCTTTACCCTTTCATATTTAAAACACTGATAAATAATATATACATAAATTACTTGAGACATTATTAAAAATTAAAGAACAAAATAGTTTCCTTAGCCTGACTTATTGAAAGACATTGTTTGATGAAACCAAATCAGACATGTTTATTATTGTTTCTGCAAGTGAAGTGTTGTGTATGTTAAAAGAAATTAAAGATTAAAGCCATCAGCATAGGAAGTTGCAGAAGAGGAGAGATTTTTGTGTTTGTGTGGTGTGCCTACACTCTGCATTTGGACAGCAGCCTGTTTTATTTTTGAAAATAAATTGACTGGTCGGGTGAGGTGGCTCAAGCCTGTAATCCCAGCACTTTGGGAGGCTGAGGGGAGAGGATTGCCTGAGTCCGTGGGTTCAAGACCAGTCTGGGCTACGTGGTGAGACCTCGTCTCTACAATAAATCAAACAAATTAGCCAGGCATGGTAGTACGCGCCTGTTGTTCTGGCTACTTGGAAGGCTGAGGCAGAAGGAATGCTGGAGCCCAGCAGGTCGACACTGTGGTGGCCATGAGCATGCCATTGCACTTTAGCCTGGGTGACAGAGTGAGACTCCAACTCAAAAAATAAATAAATAAATAAATAAATAAAAATGAAATAAAATAAATTTATCTGTTTTGCCCTGGTTGCTAATATTTTCAGAATTTCTAGCCTAGTAGAGGACTTTTGATTTTGAAGAATATTGTGTAAAAATAAGCGTTCATCTGGAAAGAAAAGCCTTTCACAAGAGTTTCTTCACCTTAAAGCATCTTCTCGCCTTATTCTTGCATAGATTAAATGGGGGTGATGTTATTTGCTTAAAACTCTGGTGATTAAAAAACTCATTTTTCAAAAATTGTACCCCAGTAAGGGTTTTTTTTTTAATGGACTATAAAGTTTGTTTTCTGCTCTATCCCATGCATTTAGCTTTTCCTATGTTATTACATTACCTTTTCAACTTTAATGGTGCATAATATTCTACTGAGTGACTGTTGAGTTAATGAGCCTTCATTTACTTGGTCATTTTTCTCTTTTAAAACATTTGGATAAAATCTTTTAGCTTTAACTTTCTGTTTTGCAGTTTGAGTGTTGGACTTACAGGAAATTCACAATTACCTAAAATTGTACAGAACTAAAAACTGTGTGACTATTTACAGTGAGTCAGCTGGCTGATTTATCACACTGCATACTTGTTAGTCAAATCAGAAAATGGCTGTCCACAATACTTTGATTATCTTAGTTATAATCTCCTGGGCTGTGGTTAGATGGTAGTGCTTTCAAAAGCTCTAACCGTCATTGTGAGAGATAGGTTGAGAACTACTGCATTTAAGTTAAGATTTGACCTTCTGGATGTCTTGAACTGATAAATTATAAAACTTTTAGTAGTGCCCTTCCCCTGCCCCTCCCAATCATCTCTTAACCTAACCACTAAGATAGGTTTATGTCTGTTCTCCGGGACTTTCTTTACATATGTACACTATATTGTATAGCAGTGACAACTTTTAATATTCACATAGTGTATATTTACAGTCACTTAAAGGTAAGTTTGTAGAGTAACTTTCTGATTGGGATTTAAATTTATAATAACTAAAATAAACAAAATGTAAAGGTGAAAATAAAATTTTCTGTCAATGAAATACTACTGTGATTTTTTCATATAACTGTTTTATAATGAATTGTGTAAAGTTACTTTCTCATGAACTGATATGTCATTTATTGTATACTAATTATTCAAATACTCTTTATAGTACTATTGGAAGCTCTAAATATGTTTTAAAATGGATACTTGTAATAGGTTTATTCCTTCTAACAAAGGTAATTTTTTTTTTCTTAGCAAGGTCAGCAATCGACACAGCTGCACGTTGTAAGTATTTCATCTCAATGTTTTGCAGATGGTTTACTCTATCTTATCATAGGCATATGAAAGTTTATATTCAAACGATATCAGTAGTTCATTGTGAACAAAAACTGATTTTAAAATGTGTTTCTGAAGTTGAGTGCTATTTGATTGGACAGCCCAACACATTTGGTATTTATTCATAATAGTTTTTTTGTATTTTTTTAGATTAGAAAATGTAGTTTATTTATAAAGCAAACTAAAAAGAGAGAAAAAGAGGAGATTCACCTCCTCAAGGTAGGGGAGGGGGCCAAAGCTTAAGAAGACATGGCCTGGCCATAGCTCAAAGAGCACATGGCCACACCATAGCTTAGCAAGGTCATTTGTGTTTTGTTTTGTTTTTAGTTCTAGTACTGTAAGTACAGAAAGTGATGGAGGAATGAAAGGATAATTCCTAGTTAGAACTTGTACATGAAGAGATAGTGGAACATTAGTCTTTTTAGTAAACCTGGAAGTAATGGATTTTTGTGCATAAATGGATTGGAAATGCAAAGTAATGATTTAAAATCACCCATATTCTGAAATTTAAAAATAAACTTAAGAATAATTAGATAAAATATACCTACCCTTGCTAAGATCATAATTTGCTGTTTCTTAGTAGGTTCTGGTTTTGTTATAGTTTTGTAGTTGTTTATTATTATCATTTGAGTTCTTTGAAACCTTCAGGGAGAGAAAAATTCTAGCATGTATTTTATTTTATTATTTTTAAACTTTATTTTATTATATTATATATATTTTTTTAGTTGAAGTGTTATTCTGCCACTCAGACTGGAATGCAGTGGCAAAATCATGGATATCACAGCCTTGATCTGCTGTGCTTAGGTGATCCTTCTGCCTCAGGATTCCAAGTAGCTGGGACTACAGGCATGTGCCACCACGTCCTGCTAATGTTTTAATTTATTGTAGAGAGGAAGTCTAGCCATGTTGCCCGGGCTGGTCTCAAACCCCTGGGCTCAGGCAGTCCTCTCGCTTCGGCTTCTCAAGTGCTGGGATTAACAGCCACCGCACCCAGCCACATGTATTTTAAAATATGTTATCTTGATGTTTTCCGTAATGTTCTTTGGTAATTTGAGATATGAAACAAACTGAGATAGTCTATTACTTTGCTTTCTAAAAATAATATTTTCTCCCCATAGCTACAAAGCCTCCCAGATACAAATGTGGGATTTCAAAAGCTTGCCCTGAGAAGCATTTTGCTTTTAAAATGGCAAGTGGAGCAGCCAATGTGGTGGGACCCAAAATCTGCCTGGAGGACAATGTGTAAGTATTTGGTGATTTGGGACTACAAGGTGTGCTGTTAAACTAGAGCCAGTTGAATCTGAGTCTAGTGGATATTTTAAAAATGTATCGGATACAATTTTATTAAGGTGATTACAGTTTTCATTATATATATATATTTTCCCAGGCATTTAGAGAGTCTTGAAATTCTTAAATTTTATATCAGAGAGTGACTAAGAACCTAGTACTTCCCCTGCTTTGTAGAAATGATGGATTTCCTCTGAATGGATTCTCTAGCTCTGCCCTGCCCCTTTTGTTCACCACAAAACACATGTGGCTATTTAGTTTTGATTCTTAAATAATAGGGAGAAAGTTAATTCATTTAAATTAATTAAAATTAAAAGTTCCATTCCATAGTCACAGTCACCATATTTCAGGTGCTCAATGGTTACTGAGCAATTATTCAAACATTTATATTATTATAGGCTTATTAGAAGCTCTAAATATGTTTAAAAAGTTGATAGTCACCAAGTGGAACAGCAGAGAGAGAATTTTCATCATGGCAGAAATCCTACTGGCAGCATCATCACCTTTGATAATGAACATGTTCTCTTACAAACCAATGACTTTCTTTTTTTTTTTTTTTTAGAAAGCAGGATTTATTGAGAGGACAGACAGAAAAGCTCCCACCATAGTGGAAGGGGACCTGAGGGCGTTGCCCACCTTTCATTTTTAAATGTTTGAATGCAGCTTGTGGAGGTGTGACTTGATCCAGTGATAACTTCAGGTCTGTTGTGGCATAAACTGCTTGCCACAAAGCTGAACTGTTTACTATTTTGAGATGCTCCACAAAGGATGGTTTTTGGGGATTTCAATGTTCCATATCAGTATCACTGTCACTTGTCAGATTCCTGTCTCTGAAATTGCAAACTCTGAATTGGTTGCTTTTAACCTGCTATTGCCTAGAAAATTAGACATCCGACCTTCCTTAAGCTTCTTGTAAAATAATAAATATGTCGTTAATCCTGTAAAATGACGAGGTAGTTTTACAGATGGAGAGGAGACCGGAGTAAACTACGCCGTTTTCATAGCTCTTTGCGTGTCCCTTCATTTTAGTGTAGAAGCTCTTCCACTGTTGTCCTGGCCCTATTTGCAGTTAGGGAAATGGGAAGGCTATTGAGCCACGAGGGACAACACTTTTCTTGTACAATTAGGGGGCTGTGCTGGGTGATCTTTAAGGCCTTTACCCATCTTCTTTCTTTTTCCTCATTCTAATATTGAGCAATCATTAATCCAGTAGTCCTATTTTACTGACATGTAATAAAGCACTTGGATTTTAGAAGTTTACAGAGTATTTTAAATTTGTTTATTTAAACATTCTTGTTCCCCCTTTTCACCTTGGTTAGGCCAAAGAGACTCCAAATTTGATTCCAAATAACAGGAACAAAGTTCTTTTTGAGTACCTAGCCCACAGACATGTTTAGACACTTATGCTGCCCCCTTGAGGTTTTAATGCAAAAAAGAGATCAAACTCTTTTTACTAGCAGGTTTTTTCTTTTATTTTAAAATGATAGAGTTGTGAGGTTCAAGTCAGGATTAACTACACAAGTGGGCTGCATGCAGATGGAGTTTTTTTGATTCACAGACTATGAAGGTCAGAAAGAAAAGAGTGTTCATGCAGTGGAGCTTGGAAAAAGAAGCACTGGGCTTGGAGCCAGAGAAGTTGGTTCCAGCATGGTAGCCATATCATATAGAAGTTGTGTTTCTCTTTCTCTAGAATTCTGTGTTTCCACATTGTTGAGGAGGTCACCTGTCCATCCTCATTTCAGGAACCATTCTGCCATTCTTGTGAGAGATTAAATAATTGACGGGATTTTATAGCCAGGCCTCTGGTTGTAAAACTAATTGCCTAAAAAGGGCTGGATAATTGGCTAGCAATCCCCGGGCTAGACACTGCGGGGACCAGTTTATAGTCCAGGGCATTTTCCAGTATATTCTGTTTCTATATTGAAAGCTTTAGGGGGTGACAGATAGTTAAAAATAAAAGCAAATAAATACTCATACATTGCAACTCCAGGCCAGGTACTGTGGCTCATACCTGTAATCCTAGCACTTTGGGTGGCTGAGGCAGGAGGATTGTTTGAGCTCAGGAGTTCAAGACCAGCCTGGATAATATAACAGGTCCTTGTCTCAACACAAAAATCAGAAAATTAGCTGGACTTGGTGGCACATGGCTGCCGTCTCAGCTACTGGGAAGGCCGAGGCAGAAGAAACACACCTGAACCTAGGAGGTCAAGGCTGTGGTGAGCTGTGATTGTGCCACTGCACTCCTGTCTGGGTGACAGACCCTGACTGGGAATAAGTGTGAAGAGGTGTGTGACTTTAGATTAAGGGTTAGAGAAGTTTCTAAGATAGCAATGTGTATCCTGAGATTGGAAGGATAAGAAGGAAGACAGCCAGGTGAAGAGTAAGGGAAGATGATCCTAGCCAGAGGGAAAAGTCTGCGTGACTCTCAGGTTGGGAAGATCTGGAGAAGTGAATTAAGGGCCAGGCCACTTAAGGAACTTGCAGGGCATGCAGGGAAAGGGTTGAGATTCTTTTCTGAATATGTTAAGAAGTTACTGAACATTCTCAACCTTAGCATGTCATAATTTCATTTATATTGGAAAAAAGTTTTCTAGCTGTTGTGTAAATTGATGAGAGAAGTGGACTAGAGAGAACGATTGGAAGGCAACATTGTCACTTGCTGCCACAGCTCTTTGATATTGCCTATTTGTAACATACTTCATTGCTTCTACACCCACTAAAATATATATATAGATAATAAAAATATGTAAGTAGAAGATTTAATATTTTCTTGCACCTGCTCTGAGTACATGCAGCTCACTTTGGTGATGATAATTCTGGAGCCTGTGCGTCTCAGCGGGGGCGATTTGCTCTCCAGGGACACTTGTCATTTCGGGTTGTCCCAGCTGTGGAGGTGCTCCTTGTACAGGCCGGAGATGCTGTTAAACCCTTCAGTGCACAGGTCAGCCCCTCCACAGAATTTTTAGACCCTTAATATCATAGGCCTTGTTTGAGAAACTGATACAGACACATGAAAATTAAGATTAGGATGGTGGTCATGATTTTACATACAAGTAGATCAAGTCAAAATATAGTATGAAGATGAGGATGTGTTTTAAATGTTGTATTAATTAGAAATAGAAAATCCTGGGTATGAACCTCAGGTGTCAGGAAAAACAGTAGTTGCAATTTTCTTTGCTCCTTTTGCATTAGAGACCCGTAGAACTTATGTTCAGATTATAGCTTTTATCTAAAGCACATACTCACTTGATTTCAGTTTGTTTGAAGTTGATGCTAAGAATAGTTATTCACCTTTTATTGTAATGTTAATATTTGGTACAAGAATAAATAAGAGGGGTTTTTTTTGTTTTTTTGGGTTTTTTTGAGTTGGAGTTACTTTGTCGCCTAGGCTGGAGTGCAGTGGCACGTTCACAGCCACTGCATCCTCGACCTGCTGGGCTCTGGTGATCCTTCCACCTCAGCCTTCCAAGTAGGGCCACATGCCTGGCTAATTTTTTGATTTTTGATAGAGACAAGTTCTTGCCAAGTTACCCAGGCTGTCCTCTCACCTCCACCTCCCAAAATACTGGAATTATAGGCATGAGCCACCATGCCCGGTCTGATTTTTTTTTTTTTTTTTTTCATACCAAGGGCCCAGATAGTATTTTTGGGCTATGAGGGCCAAGAGGTAAAATCATGGTTATTATGTAGGTACTTAAGTAATCATTTTAAAGTCAACTATTTAAAAATATAAAAACCATTCTAAGCTCATGAGTAGTAAGTCAAAACAAAACATAAAACCAGTGAGCTAGCTTGCCAAATCACTTGAAGTAGTAGTAGCTAGAATATGTAGTAGCTGTTTGAAACAAAACTATTTTGGAAAGTGTAGACTGCATCTACAAATTATGTCGTCAGTTCCATTAGATTTTTTGCCTAGAGCTGTGGGGTGGGGAGAGGGAGCTTCATATTCATGAAAGATTAAAAAAAAATGTTTCCACTTATGTTAGAAAGGGAGACTAACATTTATAAATTTTTAAGTCTTCAGTGTTTTTTGTTGTTATGTTTTCTATTTGAATTTCAGTTTATAAAAATCAATGAGCTGCTGCCCTCTTGTGGGAAGCCTATGTCATTGTTCTTCTTGGTGCCCTTTATTTCTTTGCTTACAGATTTATTAAACACATCATACTCCCAGATAATCTCGACTTGGAAAAGTCATTATGGCACTTACTGACTTAGCAAGTTAATCATAGTAATTGTTTCTTAATGATGGAGTTTACTTATCCAGTATATTTCCGGAAGAAACAGAACAAATGCTTTCAAAACTTCCCTCTTCCTTGGTTCAGCTGAGCCAATAGTCAAGTAATGAAGCATAGACCTTTTTATGTGTGTGTGCGCAAGACTAATTCTTTTGTTCGAATTGCTTTGAGATATAAAACATGTACCATCCACATCACTCGTTTAAAATGTATAGTCAGTGGTTTTTAGTATATTCACATCTATGTGCTGCTTCTGTCACAGTCCATTGTAGAACATTTTTATACCTTAAAAAGAAACTCAGTATTTTTTTGCTATTGCCTTCCTCTTCCCATTCTCATTCTACCCCACTTCCCTACCCACAGCCCTAAGAAGTCATTAGTTTACTTTGTGTCTCTGTAGATTTGCCTCTTTTGGACATTTCATTTAATATGGCCTTTTGTGATTGGCTTCTTCACTTATGTTTTCATCCATGTTGTATCATGTTTCAGTACTTTCTTCCTTTTATGGCTGAATAGTATTCCATGGAACCACATTTTGTTTACCTACTCATCAGTTGATAGACTTGAGTTGTTTCCACTTTTCAACTGAAGTGAATAATGTTACTATTAACACTTGTGTACACGTTTTTGTGTGGACTTATTTTTTTAATTTTGTATACTCCCGGGGAACATATTTTGTTCAGATGGCAACTCTATTTAATTATTTGTAGAACTGCCAATTATTTTCTAGAGTGGCAACACCAGCAGTTCATGAGGGTCCTAGTTTCTCCCCATTCTTGCCAAAATGTGTTATTAGCTAACTTACTGATTGTAGCCATCTTAGTAGGTGTGAGGTAGTATCTCATTTTGGTTTTGATTTGCATTTCTCTGATGATTAGTGATATCTAGCATATTTTCTTTTCTTTTCTTTTCTTTTTTTTGAGTTGCAGTCTCACTCTGTCGCCCAGACTGGAGTGCAGTGGCATGCTCCCAGCCACCACAGCCTCAACCTGCTGGGCTCCAGCGATCCTTCCATCTCAACCTTTCAAGTAGCCAGAACTACAGGCATGCACTGCCACGCCCAGCTAATTTTTGATTTATTGTAGAGATGGGGTCTCACCAAGTTGCCCAGGTGGTTCTCGAACCCACAGTCTCAAGCAATCCATTCACCTCGACCTCCCAAAGTGCTGGGATAACAGGCTGAGCCACTGAGCCCGGCCATAGCATCTTTTTTTAGGCACTTATTGGCTATTTGTATATCTTCTGTGGACAAATGTCTATTCAAATTCTTTGTCTATTGTTAAATTGTGTTATTTGTTTCTTCATTATTGAGTTGTAATCTTTCTTTTAGTTAATGTTTACATGATATATCTCTTTCTACCCATTTACTTTCCACTCCCTGTGTCTTTATATTTAAAGTTTACTGAAAGTCTCATGGTATAAAATCAGTGTGCAAAAGACAGCTGCATTTCTATATACCACCAACAAACAAACAGAAACCCAAATCAAAAGCACAATTCCATTTACAATAGCCAGAAAAAAAATTCAGATACCTTGGCATTTTCCTAACCAGAGACATGAACGTCTTTTACAATGAAAACTACAAAACACTTCTCAAAGAAATCAAAGATGACACAAACAAATGGAAAAATATTCCATGCTCATGGATTAGAAGAATCAACGTTGTTAAGATGTTCATCCTACCTAAGGCAATCTCAGATTTAATGCAGTACCCATTAAATATCTAGCAGCTTTCTTCTCAGACCTGGAAATGACAATACAGGAATTCATATGGAAACATAAATAACCACGCATCGCCAAAACAATCCTCAGCAAAAAAAAAAAAAAAAAAAAAGGCAGAAAATATCACACTCCCAGACTTTAAACTCTATTATAAAGCTACAGTAATCAAAACAACTTGTTATTGATACAAGAACAGGCATATAGACCATTGGAACAAGATTCCAGAAGCAAAACCTCAATTTCTCAACCAACTCATCTTTGACAAAGCCTCTACCACCAACACCTATTCAGTAAATGGTGCTGGGAAAACTGGTTGACCACATGCAGAAGATTAAAACAAGATTTCTACCTATCCCCATACATAAAAATCAACTCTAAATGGATCAAAGACCTAAATAGAAAACCTCAAACTATAAGAACCTTAGAAAATACAGGAGATACACTTATGGAACTTGGAACTGGCAACCAATTCCTGATCAAAACCCCAAGCACCCATGCCATAAAAGATAAGATAGACAAGTGGGACCTCATCAAACTGGCAAGCTTCTGCAAAGCCAAAGAAACCATCAAGAGAACAGGGAGACAGCCCACAGACTGGGAAAAAAACATTTGCCAACTGTATGTCTGACAGAGACCTAACATTTAGAATCTAAAAGGAACTCAAATGAGCTGAAAAGAAAAAACAAACAGCTCCATTAAAGGTGGGCAAAAGATATGAATAGACAGTTCTCAAAAGAAGACGTACGAGCAGCCAACAGATACATGAAAAAATGCTCAGCCTCACTAGTCATCAAAGAAATGCAAATTAAAACTATACCGAGATGCCACCTGACTCCAGTAAAGATGGCTATCATCAATAACTCAAAGAATAAGAGATGCTGGAGAGGATGTGGGATAAAGGAAACACTTCTACACTTGAGAGTGTAAACTCGTACAACATCTGTGGAAAACAATGTGGTGATTCCTAAAAGAGCTAAAAATAGTCCTTCCATACAACCCTGCAATCTCCCTACTGGGAATATACCCAGAAGATCTGAAATCACTCTGTAAAAAAGATACCTGCAAACGTATGTTTATTGCAGCATTGTTCACAGTAGCAAGAACACGGAACCAACCATGCTGCCCATCAAAAGAGGACTGGTTAAAAAAAATGTACATATACACATTGGAATATTACACAGCCATAAGAAGAACAAAATCAACTTCACAGCAACCTAGATGGACTTAGAGTCTATAATACAGAGTGAACTTTCACAGAAACAACGAACTAAGTATTACGTGTTGTCACTCATAAGCGGACTTTGAACAATTATCATAATACTTTAAGAAAATAATTGACAGTAGCGGGAAACTGCCGGGAAGGGGGGGCAAAGCGGAATTGGCAGTAGTAGGAGTCTGCCTGGGGAAGGGGGGTGGCACACCTCATCAACAAGGGTACCTGCATAATGAACATTTTATACCCAACCCTGTATTATACCCCACATCTTTAAAATTAAAAAACAGTTTATTGAGTTTATTGTAGACAATGTGTAGTTGGGTCCTGTTTTAATCTACTTTGCCAATTTCTGTCTTTATTTGGTATGTTTAAACTATGTACATTTATTATTGTTATGTAGGGCTTGAGTCTGCTATTTATTTTTTTAACTGCCTTCCTATAAGTTACATGAATATTTTTTAGAATTTCTTTTTGATTTATCGATAGTGTTTTTGAGTGTACTGCTTTATAGATTTTTAAGTGATTACTCTGACTTTGCAGACACAAGGTTTAGACTTAGGAAAGTGAGGGAGAAAATGTGAATTATGCAGATTAAACTTAAGAGTATGTCATGTCCGTCGCTATTGTGTTGTGAGTAGCATAAGAAATATAAGAAACAGTCTTCCAGTATTTGAAAACTTACTATCTGACTGAATATAGTCGTTGCCTACATGACTGACAGACAAGTGAAGTTCCAACATGAATTTGTGTTGTTTCCGTTTTCCCTTACTTTCTTACTCTTGAGCATAATCAGTAAAATGTATAATAGTCTCTGTACCTATGTAAAAATATTAACTTGTGTGTATGTATAGTCACATATATGCATACCTCCCGTCTCTCCCATTCTCAAACCAATTGTTATACATTTGACAGCATACCACTGGGAGTATTACAATTACTTTGACATTTTGAAGCTAAAAGTCCTCACAGTTTCAGTTTTATAAGTCTGAACAAACTGATCTAGTAACAAGCAATATGTCACTGATGCCTTCCATCATATAGTATCATTGTCTTTATCTAATGGCCAGTGAGCTGCTGGTGGATTTTGCTGATCTCAGGTGGTCACCATGTATGTGATCGTCATTAGATGTAGTTAAATGACTCCCATATTCCTTCTTAGTACAGAGCAACTTTTATTGGTAATCACAAAGAGGATGTTCACACTCAGATAGAACATTCATGGAGGAGCACTCCCTCACTCTTCTTGCGTTCAGATTGTAAAAGATTTGGGTAGAATCTCACTTCAGAGATACTGAGTTTTGCATAGGATATTGCAGAAAGTGACAAAGAGATGATGTGTCGTCTGATCCCTTGAGCATGGTTAATGTGCTTAACGTCCACATGTTTCAAGGATTTTCTAAAATGATATTTTATAATCTGATACAGAGCAGCAAGAAGTAGTCCAGGTCAACCCCCTTGGATCCCCTCCCATTGTGGGAGCTTTTCTGTCCTCTCAAGAAATCCGGCTAAAAAAAAGGAAGAAGAAAAGAAATAGTCCAGTATTTCAGCCCTAATACTTTTTAATACATATTTTTTGAAATATCATTTAGGGACATTGCTTTAAAATTATTCAACACTACACTGCCTTCTCTGACTTAGTAGAGACCTTTTAATTTCCTCTGCTGTGCCGAACAATTGAAAATGTATATAATATTCTTAACTTGCTGTAATTTTTTTTCTCTGATGTGTGTTTATGTGCAGTATCTAATTCTAAACTTATTTTAACTTTTTCCCCTCAGGTTGATGAGTGGTGTTAAGAATAATGTTGGAAGAGGGATCAATGTTGCCTTGGCAAATGGTAAGAAAAATTATTTCATCTTATGTATGTGGTCAGCAGGTATTCTTGTGCTCTTAATAAAATGCACTCCGCTTTCAAGGGATAAGATCAGAAGTGCCACTTTTGACACTGAAGTTCCTCCTCCTACCCACCTCCCAAACATCTGTAGTTGAAGACTCAGTGCCTATATTTCTAGCATGCTTTCTTTAAAGTATCCTGGCTTGCTGTATACTACATAGAGGGCTTTCCAAGAGATTGTCAGAAAACAGTGTAACGCTAAACTGATGAAATCTTGCTGCAGATTTTTTAATCCTAACATGATATGAGGATAGGTTGGTAGGAATTAAGGTGTGTAAAATGACAAAGGATGGCAGACAATTAAATGGGGTTGAGAAGAACAAAGAATAAGACTTTATTATAATTTTTAAGTATTTGCCAGATCCTTCTGATAGGTTCATTAATGTAAATAAATTCATTGAATCCTGAATGTCTTGAGTATTCTTGCACAATCAAATCTGAAACCTGAAATCATGAAGTGAATTCTAATTGCATGCTTGTCCACTCTGTTTTGGTACAGGAAGTATTCCTTAAAGCTTTCTAGGGTGGTTAGAACCACCAGCCCCCTTACTCAGTTCATAGTGTAGGAAACTATATTTTAATATTTTCACAGCAGAGGTAAATTTTTGATTTTCTGCTTTCATTTTCTTAGGTAAAAGTTGCAATATCTATTTGTTTAATTGATAACAAGAAACACATTTTAAATAAAAAATGAGTATAATGAATAAATGGCTTTAATATACAAAGTGGCATCTGATTCAGTGAGACGCTTTTTTGTCAGAGCTTTATTTGGGTAATTCTTAAATAAGAGAAGATAGTAACAAATAAGGATGAAATAGATCTAATTTTCTGTGTGTGTGTGCGCTGAGGTCTTACTCTGCCACCTAGGCTAGAGTGCAGTGGCATGATCACAGCTCACCACAGCCTCAAACTCGTGGGCTCAGGTGATCCTTCTGCCTCAGCCTCCCAAGTAGCTGGGATTACAGGCATGTGCCAACACATCCAACTAATTTTTTGACTTTTTTGTGTAGACAAGGTCTTGCTATGTTGCCCAAGCTGGTTTCAAACTCCTGAGTTCAAGGAATCCTCCTGCCTTGGCCTCCTAAAGTGCTGGGACTACAGGCATGAACCATCATGCCCAGTGAAATATATCTAACTTTGAATTGGTATGGCTTGCAGTCAGTAAGGAACTTCTGTTTGCCGCTCTTTGGCTTAAAACATTAATGAGAAAGTCCTATCCAAAAATTATCCTTTAAAAATATGTTTTAGATGTATACGATTTGGATTTTAAATTGTTATCAAAATAATTCCTTCTCTGCTGATGAATTCACATCAAACAATAAATAAGATCATTTGTCTTAGTGTATAATATATTTCACTTGCATAATTTGATATTAATTTAATCTCTTTTAGGAAAAACAGGAGAAGTTTTAGACACTAAATATTTTGACATGTGGGGAGGAGGTAAGTGTGAATAGCATATAACTGTTCTGTTGCTGGCGCTCAGTCACCTCTATATATGTAACCCATTGATGAGAGGATAGTGATACTATTTGTTAGTTAATTTTACTTCTCTCACTTTCTTTTCAACAAATGTCCAGCTCTATTAATTGATCATTCATATTATATATACTTTGTTTTTGTTAGAAAAATTGTGGTGTGTAATTGAGTAGAATAATATCAAAATTGAGATTTAGAGAAAAATCTGAATCCTCTTTTCTGCAGGACAACTAATTCAGAATTTTTGAGTTCCTGTAGGTTTTTGTCTGAAATTTTTTTAAAAAGAACAAATAATTTAAAGACCAGCATAACCAACATAAGCATTTTTAATTGACGAACTTGATTTCTTTACATATGATTTTTCAGTCCCAAAAATAAATCGCAAGGAGCATTAGACATGTAAGACATACTGTCAGGTTTTGGAAAAGCAATCTTGTTATTCATCTCAGTTCTTCCTTTTGACTTATGGCTAATTTTAAAAAGTAGATTAATATTTGAAAGAAGGAATAGAATTGCCTTTCTTTTCACTGGACTTAAAGGAACCTACAGATAGTTTCCCCTTCCACATTTGGAGGTCTCTCAAGGAGCAGAAAGAAGTCACCCGCCTGCAGGGGCCAGGAGGTGGCATTCTGAAGAAGGCGGCTGCCCAGAAGGGAGAGTTTTCTTCCTCAAGATTGGAGGAAGGCCAACACTGGTTTACCTTTTGACTCTCCCTTAAGTTAGTTTGTGAAATGTATCAGTATGAAGATCTCCCCTGCACCTCCCATCCCATTTATATATTCCCTAGAAGCCAGCAGCTTTTATGCTTCCTGAAATGTATGCTAAAAGTTTTCAGACAGTTTAGCTTTTCTAACATTTCTTTACCTTGTAATAAGATGCCACGTGCTACTTATTTTTAAAATAAGATTAGAAGCTGGGCTCGGTGGCTCAGCCTGTAATCCCGCGCCATAGGGAGGCTGAGGTGAGTGGATTGCCTGAGCCTGCGGGTTTGAGACCCGCCTGGGCAGCAAGACCTCATCTCTACAATAAATCAAAAATCAGCCGGGCGTGGTAGCGCACGCCTGTAATTCCGGCTACTTGGAAGGCTGAGGCGGAAGGATCGCCGGAGCCCAGCAGGTCGAGGCTGCGGTAGCCGGGAGCAGCCACTGCATTCCAGTCTGGGTGACAGAGTGAGACTCCAACTCAAAAAATAAATAAAAAAACAAAATAAGATTAGGAGAACATTTCATAGCTGTCAAAGCTGTATACATGTAAGACGTGACCCATCAGTTTTTGATTCTTAAGGCGTAATCAGTCCTGTCAAAATGTATTAATAGAAACCCTCTTATAATGGTGTTATTGAAATCCGTAACATGACCAAAGACTCTGATATTTCCTACTCTCTCCATCATAGGTAGATTAATACCTGCTGAAAGCACTCTTCCAGTTAAGAAATAGTTACAGTTTACTGCCATTTTTTCATTTAGAAGTAATTTGTTAGCTTTTATTGTTTTTTCTGAATTGAAAATGCACTATTATAAAATATAATCAATTGTAGGAAATCTTTGGAATCTTTGCTGTGGAAAGAAACTGAGTGAATTTGAAGTAACCTAGTTTTGAAGTAGTGTTAGACTTGGGGTCTGTAAGAAAACCTGACTCTGTAAAGGGTTCAAACTGTGAAAAAGAGCTCAAGATATAGAATCTGATCTCTATGTCTCACATCACCAGTTTGGAGTCACTGTGGTCTCTGGTTTATTTTGAAATCCGTGTAGACTTTGATTTGCTAGATGAAATGAGTAGTGACTGTAGTAGTTGTCACAATTAGTTTCGCTTTTAGTGATTCCTTCCCCCAATTTATAGCAAGTAGATATACCCAGAAGATCCTTTAAACCTGTGTGTATATATATATATTTATAGATGTTTTAAAAATTACAGGTCTCCTTGAGAATTGGATAAAAGCTGTGTTTCCTCTTTCTAAAAAAGGACCCATGCAAACAGTTTTACATATGCTCAGAGTCTATGAACCTCTCTTCTGCCCGTTAAAACTTACCCATAAACATCAGAATCCGATTTTTTTATAGTCCCAATTATTCATATCTGAGGGATCTCCAAGTTTCTTACTTTGTAAGTCATGTTTTAACATGACTTTGCTTTTTTTTTTTTTTCCCACCTAGTCCCAGGAGTATCATAACAAAGGCACGGGGTAAATCAGGATTGGAGAGTTCTAATTTGATGGTGGGATCATATTGAGGCACAAACTTGACAATTTTTAAACTGTTTGTAAGATTTCTTTCCCTTTTGGATTACTTTACATTAGAAACTATTGATTTACAGATGCTACATATTTTATAATATTAATTTTAGAGATTATCTTGATGGCTACTGAGTAATTTTTTAATACCCTCAACCATTTCTTTTTCTTTAGATGTGGCACCATTTATTGAGTTTCTGAAGGTTATACAAGATGGAACAATTGTCTTAATGGGAACATATGATGATGGAGCAACAAAGTATGTAAATCTAAAACTTTATACAGTTTTTTTGGAGCTATAGTTTATAATTATAAAAGCAGTTCATTTTTATTGAAAAACTAAGACAGAGTAAAGTAATTCAGTACCACATAAACACTATTAACATATTTTTAGTTTGTTTCCTTCTTATTTCTCTATGTAAATATTTATCATGCATATATTGTTAGGAAATAGGAATCGCATGGTACCTTTTAAATGCTTTTTACTTTATTCTGCTTTTTAACAATCTTAAATTATTTTTCCTGGCATTAATGTTCTTCAGTAGCATTTTTATGGCTCTCCTACAGTTATCATGTGGGCTTACCTTTAATTAAAAGTTTTTCTATTGCTGCCAAATTTTTCATCTTATAAATAATATTGTGATAAACATCCTTTTACACTATTCTTTTTCATCTTTGATTGTGTCATGAGAGTAAGTTTTTAGAAATAGAATTATCAAAGATATAGATAGGTACGCTATAGTGTTCATAAATTTTAACAGAAGGTAGTTTTCTTAAAATTGTATATATTGGAAAAATTTGGAAAAATACAGAAAAGCACGAAGGAAAAAACAACTTTATAGTGCATGTCACTATCCAGGTGTCACTATTCATTCCAAATGACTCAGTGCTCATATTTTCTTCATTTTAACTATTTGAATTGATAGTATTTATAGCATGCTTTTTCATTTATGTGGCATATATTTTCTCATCTCATTCAGTATGCTTCATAACAACATTGTTGATGTCTACCTAGTCTAGTTTTCAAACATGTCATAATTTATAGTCTGTTTAATAGAATGCCTATTGCTAGACTTGGGCTGTTTCCAGTTTTCATACTTAGCAAAATGTACTGTCTTAAAAAATTTTGAACAATGCATTTCAATTTCCTTAAGATTAATTTATTTAAAGTGGGATTGTTGAATTAAAGGATGTGCATATTTTTAAAAGACAACTTTTTAAAACATGTATTAATTTTATAATTTTACATTTTTCTCAGAAATTCCATGGCACTGATTGTTAATTTTTTTTTAAATGAGAAAGCAGAACTTATTGAGAGGACAGAAAAGCTCACACAGTGGGAGGGCACCCGAAGGGGTTGCCTGATTATTAACCTTTTAAATGTTCCAATGCCAAAAGTTTTGAAAATGTATCATGTTTTAATGTCTTTCTTTGATTATTGTTAAGATTGGATTTTTTTCTCTAAGTTTTTTTGGCCTGTGGTGAATTATCTTTTGATCATTCAAGTTGATATTGATTCACAAGAACCCATATGTTAAAGGTATTAACCATTATGTTAAAATTGTATTTTTTTGTTTGTTTATCATTTGCTGTTAATTTTGTTAGTGTAGGATTTTTTTTAGAAGTTTATACTAATTCCTATGTAATCAAGTATGAATTTTCCTTTTAGTGTCTTCTACTTTTATAATTAAGATGTATTTTTTCATCTCTGGATTAGATATTTAGTAGATTTTTTTTTTTCCCAGTGATTTCACTGTGTTTATGTATTTTCAAAAATCAATTTGCAACTGAGTGCATTGACTCAAACCTGTAATCCCAGCACTTTGGGAGGTGGAGGCAAGAAGATTGCCTGAGCTCAGGGGTTCAAGTCCAGCCTGGAAAACTTGGCATGTCTACAATAAAATCTTTAAAAATTAGCTGGACTAGAGTGGATGCACCACTACTTTCGGCTATTTGAAAGACTGAAACAGAAGGAGCACCTTAGCCCAACAGGTCAAGGTTGCGGTGGCCATGATCATGCCAGTGCACTCCAGTCTGGATGATAAAGTGAGACTCTGACTAAAAAAAAAAAAAAAAAAAAAAAAAAAATCCATATGTAATTTCCCAGTGGTGTATAATGCTGTTAAACACTAGGTTTTTTTATGTAGATTTGGCTTTGTTTCTGGTATTTCTCTTCTATTCAGTTGATCTATTTATTTCTGTTCCAAAAAGATACTATTTTAATTATTTTATAACTGTTTTGTAAACATAATTGTGCTCCATGCTTCTCTGGTGAGGATAAAATCCCCTTTTATATTCTTGCTAGAAAAATTGTTTTTTGTATGTTTTTTTTAAAAAATGATTTTTATCAAGAATAGAGAACATTTATTTTAGATTTTAGTTGGAGAGTCCTTAATACTACACCAGGAATATGGCATGTCTTTTTTATCTATTGAGTTTTATGACTGTACTTATTGTATTAGTTATATTATTGTTGATTTACATTAAGAAAATAGTGTTATTTTATGAATAACTGTAAACTGAAGTAGTTTAATTGACATTTTGCATTTCATCTGGTTCAACTAAAAGCATGCTAAATTCACAAATTGAAAGTTAACCTAAAGCTTGCATATGCAAGCATTTTCTTGTAGCTAAGTAGAATGAAACAGAAGATAATTAGGCTTTTCTTATTTTAAAAAAAAGTAACTTGCTGTTTGCTTTTGCTGAGAGAATAGGATATTATATGTATCACTTGAGGTTTTAACATTAATAAAAGAATGCCTCACTTTTCTCCATCCATGCACACCATGCACATGACCTCTATTCTTTACCAGATTATTTTTTATCTTGTTGCTATACCTGATGGGAATCAGAACATTTCCTCCTTTTTTGGCGGGGGGGTGGGTTGGAGTCTCACTCCATCACCCAGGCTGGAGTGCAGTGGCACGCTCACAGCCACTTCTGCATGGACTTGCTGGGCTCTGGCAATCCTCTCGCCTCAGGCTTCCAAGTAGCCAGAACTACAGGCGTGCACTACCATGCCCGGCTAATTATTTTATTTATTGTAGAGATGGGGTCTCACTAAGTTGCCCCAGCTGGTCTCAAACTCATGGGCTCAGGCAATCCACTTGCCTTGGCCTCCCAAAGTGCTGGGATTACAGGCTGAGCCACTGAGCCCAGCAAGAACTGTTCCTCTTAATCTACTAATGTGCTAATAATAAATGTTAGTCACACCTAAGAACTAAGGCAAAGCAGGAATGATTTTTACCCTTTAACTGCTATTTTCTGGTGCCCATTAAATGTAACAAATTGGCCTCAGAAGAGGCTTCAAACTATAAGGCAAAAGTAGAACTCTAAATTTTGATGTCTTTACACCTGTTCACTTGGTCAATACATGATTCAACCTCTGTATGTTTAAATGAATTGGGATGTATGCATTGTCATTTAGGGGCACACAAATTTATATTTCAAATATTTCTCTTTCCTAAACACTAGTAAGATAAATTGTTAGCATTATATCTTTTATACCAAAATGGCAAACAATCTTTATGGAAGGCTGTATACATCTATTATATACATCTATTACTTGGAACAAAATAAAAACCCATTACCTTGGCAGGTGTCTGATTGTGGAATGTTTGAAATGCTTCTTCAGTTGTGACATACCCTCTCTTCTACATGAGAAGCAGCTCTGCCTGCTCCTGTGTATTATGGCTTTTCCTTGTTAAGGCCACTGGACTTGACCTCATACGGAATTCTTTTTATTCTATTTAGAGTTTAGAGAGTTTAGAATGGATGCCCCTATTTCCAAGAGAAAGAAATATTTCTTAAAGATAAATATATTCTCTATATCCAAGAGAATAGAGAATGCATGCTCTATTTCCAAGAGAAAAAGAGTTGGCTTACATTTTGACCAGGGAAAGCAGGACCAATTCTGTGCTGTTCCTCTCTGATCCTAGTTACTACAAAAAATAATGAGCCCATCAGCAATACTGTGAACTTCAGCAGAATTAACTAGAACTGGTCTCCGTCACATCATTTCCCAAAGTGTATTAAGTGGAACCCTGGTCCTTTCAAGTTCAAATCATGGTCAAAGAAGTTTGAGGATGGTGCCTTGTATTTTGTTCCTTTTAGGTATTTAACAGTGAAAGTCTCTGAAGTTCTGGCCTAAAGAAGCCTCATTATCTTTTAATCACAGTGTTTCTTGATTTTTAACTATGAAGCTCATTGTAAAAACCAAAATAGAAAAAACTGCTTTTTTTCTAAGAAAACTTACACTCTGGGGAGTGTAGGTCTCTAATGATGCCTCCTTTCCAGCCCAGCCCCTGCTCAAATGAGTTATCTTTTGTTTATTTAGTAAAGAATATCATAATTTGAATAAGCAAGCTAAATTTTGCTATCATATTCTTCCTTTGGAGAGAGTACCTTATGGCATGCTGATACCATGTTTAAGTGAAGGGTTTACATGTGAATGTCTCTGAGTTAGAAAAAATCTTTACGCTTATCTGAAGCAGCCTGTGAACCCATGCCAGGCTCCCTTGGAACTTCCATATGAACACCTCTTCTGAACTCCTCCCCTACTAAGATGCCAGCCCTTGCCATATTTCCATTTGAAACAAAACAAAACAGTAGTAAGGCAATATTATGTTCCCAAGGTGATCTGCCTCTAAGTTCTGCCTGATAGTTTTTCACTTGGGTAAAGGGAACAACAAAACAAAAAATATGTTTCCCAAATTATCTGATACTTCAAGTATTTAAGGCTAATTTGCATTTCTCTTTTAGTTTTCTCTTTTCCAGTCTCAATACATGTGGCTCTTTCAGCTTTTTATCATGTCAGGTTTCTAATTCATTTTACCCTCCTGGGGCTCTATTTCTTGGGAATTCTCTAGTTGATTATTGTCTCTCTTAAAATGAGTGCACCAGATCCAACACAGGCTTCCAGATGTGGTCTGGCCACTACAGAGTGCAGTGCAGATGCTAGCTCACCATGCTTTAGAGATTACATTTCTTTGAATATTCATACAGACTGGTACTGTATTAGTTTTCTTTAAACAGTCACATCACAGTTTTGGCTCGTTAGTTTTTGGTCAAGTTAAATTCTCAGATTTTTTATTTGATTTCAGACTTTTTTTTAACCACCACCAAGTGAGGTCTTTCTCCCATTCAAAACTTGATTTTGTTTAATCTAAATAAGGGACTTTATATTCATTTATCCTTGTTAAATTTAATTTTGCTGATTTGAGCCACCTGGTCTTGATTCTGACATTTGTCCTCTGAAGT